GCTGATGAATACATTTCTCAGGCATTTCCAGACAACTGGTATATGAGGCTGCAATAAAAAGATCCAGGAACATACTCATTATGCTTTTTGTTGTTGGACAAGACAGTTGACCTACATTCTTCTGCATTTCACATGAAGCAATAGCATCATGGAGGTGTGTAGAATTACAGGATGCTCCAGAAATATTGAGCCACCCCACATAAAAGAGATAGCCCACTACTGATCACGGGTGACCTTCTAGAGCACATTATGGTCATGACTTATCAAATTCCAATCACTTCAGGTAATTTCTTTTGACTATTAATTGCAATATCATTAAAACCCAAAAGCATGTCCTGTGAGTGTGTCTACTTCCCAAAGATCACTTTAAAGTCCTGGTTTCCAAATCATCAAATTCTCTCACCCCTGAATTTCTCAGCCTAAAAGTTTACATCCAATCCAGAAATCAAGTGACCTGAATTCATTTCCTGGCTTCAGTGGGCAAGTCACTAAATGTCTCCTTTGCCTTACTTCCTCATCAATAAAATGGGCCAGTGCTCATCATACCTTTGTGTAGAACGTTGTGACAATAAATGAACTCTTGAGAAGAAAAATTCCATTCAGATTCAACTTCTGTCTATTGAGGTGTCTACCCTGAGCTGGGCACTTTGTTACATATTTTACTTATATTTTTCCATTTAATGGAATAGCCCAATTAGGTAGACATTATTAGCTACAGCCTAAGACAAAAAACTGAGGGCCAGAAAAGGTGAATTACTTTTCTCAGCACAACTAGCCACAGGCAAACACAGGATTCAAATTTCAATCTGGTGCTCTTTCTCTCTTATTATTTCTACTTCCATCTTTGTATAGTCAAGATGATATTACAGTAATAAGATTTTCCAGTAGAATGAAATTTTTAGGAACCACCAATAAACAATTAGAGAAAGCAAAGAAGACTGCAAAGATCATTTGTAAAGTTTGGGTCTGAACCAGACTCTTGAGCACATACATCCCAAGGTCAAGGAACTGTGACCCTGAACTTTCTGGGGAGGCAAATATAAATACATATAAATATAATCTGGAAAGGAGAAAACTCCAGACTCCTTTTGGAAAGAAACAAGGAGTTTATTAATTTAGGAATGAGGAAGAATAGAAATATATGATAGGTAAATATTTGACCAGCAGTGGGAGAATCAGAAATGATGGGAACACCTGAATTCCTGGGATAGACATTCTTTAGATAATATCCAGCAGGTGAGCAAGTTTACTGCCTGCTAGGAACTGCAAAGCCCAAGATTCCTTGGAATGTATTTATAGCTGCTCCGTCACTAAGGCGCCAACATCTGATCCGCTCTTTCCAAAATACGTTTTAAAAAATTCAAAAGGAAAAAGGCAAGAGCCCTGTAAACAACGTCTTCTGAGGCCAATTGTAAACATTGCCACCAGAGAGAATAGCAGACAGTTGCTTGCAAAGTCTGAACAGACCTTCAGTCTGATGAGAGAGAAGGCTTGAGGGTGGGGGCTGCAGAAAGGAAGAGCAGCTACTCCTCTCGGCTTCTTGGCTCTCCTGACCTGAGGAGGAGAATCCCCAGCTGTCCCACCTGTTTAGAAGGAAGAAAACACGGTGAGCGAATTTCCTCGATGGGTATTGAATGCAGACTCTGTGCCATGCTCCGGGAAGGCGTGTGGCCAAAAGAAGGAAGTGAGGAGCCCGGAGTCCTAATCTTCTGTGAGTCTCAGGTGCTTTTCCACTACTTCCTGGGAGAAAGAAGTTCTGTCTATAGGAGACAAATCTATGGGAGCTAGAGGTTTTATCAAAGAAGACCCAAAGTCTCAATTAATGATTGATAACACCTAGATGGGAGTCACCACAGAATTACAGTGGCAGAATCTTTCATACAAGATTCAGAAATCCAAAGGGCTGTGAAAATAAGTTTCTTTTTTTGTAACTCATTTGACAAGCAAAACCTGATCCAGCTTCTTCTGGTGACCAAACCTGACCTGGATTTAAGAGAAGGTGTTAGGGGGTGCTGCCCCAAGCCCCCAGATGATTATGAAATATTTAGTATATCCACCCTCCTGTCTTTCCAAAATCTGAAACATTATGAGTTCCAAGTATACCTAGCTCCAAATGTTTTGGTAATGGATTGTGGACCTGTATTATATATCTTTAAGTGTTCTTTTTTCTTTCTTCTTTTGTTCTAACTGCAGGTTATGTCTCACACAGTATAAGCAACTAATCTATAGTTTCTTAATAAGCAGCTACATGTTCCCCGAAAATGCACAATTTGCCAGACCATGTATGTTACCTTGCAAGGTCAGCCACCAAACTTCGGAAGAGCCCACAAGGTGAGCTTCCCACACCAGGAAACTACCGCAGCCAGGAAGGAACTGCCAGAATTATATGTAGACTACCTACGACAGCCTCAAACACAAAGAAATCACCTGAGAATCTTTAAAAAATACTGCCCTAAAATGGATCCACTTCAGTGACAATTAACAACCTTACCTCTGTGAACTCTCATATTTTTATCTGTCTCACACATTAACGTTTTGATTTCAATGCTGGTGAGCTTTAGAAACTCAGCACCAGCTATACCTGCACAATCCCAAATTCTGAAAATTTTTATCAGTGAAAAGCATACCCCAAAACAAACTAAAAACTTAATATATACTGTTCATCCCCTTTTCCATTTCATATTTGGTGGAATCATTTTATTGCAAACACACCATGAAAGAATAGGCACTTGACAATCATTTCTTCTGGATGAATCTGGAAGGTAGAAACTCAGCTATCTGAGTAAACACTTATTAAGAGCTCAAACCCATAGGTGAAGCCTCTGGGATCGCAAAATGCTCTGCTTGTTTTTAAGGATTTGATAATCAAATATTTTCTTGTCCTATATGCCAAGCTAATTTGTTCTAAATGTAACACTCTTTAGTGGAATGTGGATGACAAATATGCATACTCAAGGATCTACAGCTTTTAAATGTTGTATCTAGTCTCCCATGTATATTTAGGCACCAAATTAAAGGATCATCTGCTTGGACTTTTTGAAATCTAAAATAGATTTCAAATCTAAAGGAATAATGTTTGCCCCAGACTGCTGCTGTTTAATGAAAGTGTTTAGCCCAGAGTTCTGTCACGTCTGTCAGAATGTCTGACTTGTAAATTTTGTGTGCTTACAGATTTTGGGAAAAAATACAACAAAAGTTGCACACGCGTGTGCACACGCACACACACAATGAGAGAGGAAGCAATTTAAAATGAAAATAAAATAGAAAAACAGTAGCTACTTCTTGTCAAACCAAAAAAAGAAAGAAAGACATAATTGCCTACATTTACAAAAAAGGCCAACGGTAAGGAGGAAGAAGAGTTATTTAGGGTAAAATAGCCAGGAATTATAACTAAGATTCATGGGAATGAAAAATTGGAGCTGTGTGGCAGAGATGGCTTGTGGCCATATGCTATTTCTCCATTCTTCCTCAGTAAAAAAAAAAAAAAAAAAAATTAATTAACTAAATAAATAATCCTGATTTTATTTGGGCAGCAATGAACTTAACCAAAAGACGTTCTTTCCGAAACTCTCTTGGAGCTGGGTTTGGCATGGGATTAAGTTCTGATCAATAATCTGTAAGCAGGGGCGCCTGGGTGGCTCAGTCGGTTAAGCAGCTGCCTTCGGCTCAAGTCATGATCCCGGGGTCCTGGGATCGAGTCCCACATCAGGCTCCTTGCTCAGCGGGAAGTCTGCTTCTCCCTCTCCCTCTCCCGCTGCCTGTCTGCTGCTCCCCCTGCTTATGCTCTCTCTCTCACTATCTCTGTCTCTGTTTCAAATAAGAATAAATAAAATACTTAAAAAAAATCTGTAAGCAGAGTGTGGGGGAGGGGTAACAGCAAGGGAAGGGGGGAAGGCTGCCCTAAAGAGGCGGGCTCAGCTTTCCATGCCTTGTTCCTTCTGGAATAAGGAGTTCCAGGGTCCACTTGGACCATGAGTTAAGAATGGAACACGTCCCTAATGTAAAGCAAAAAGATAAGAACTTCATTCCTGATAACTTTGTGGAGCTGCTGTATTTACTCCTGCTGGGCTACCTGACTTCTTTTACGTGAGAGAAGCAGCTCTTGTGTGTTTATTGTTGTTTGTTGTTGTTGTTACATTCAGCTCTATTAAAAACCTAACTGAGATGGGCAGTTGGAGAGAATAAATCAACTGCGGGATCCAGGGCTCAGGCCCTTGCCGTTCCAAGTGTGGTGCCTGCAAGCGCTGTATGGGCATCACTCAGGGGCTTGTTAGAAAAGCAGTCTTGGGCCCCACCCAGGCCTCCTGGATCAAAATCCAAACTTTAACAAGATCCCCGGGTCACTTGTGTGCACCATTTGAAAAGTTTCAGTGGCACTGACAGAGTGAATGCTCTATGAAAAGCCAGACCAAACATCATGGATTTGAATGAATTGCTGGGCAGCGTTCTTATGACCTAGGTTTCTATCCTGTCAAAAACAAAAACAAAAACAAAAACAAAAAACAACACTGAGAAAATATGACCTGATTTTGAGATCAGACATCAGACATACTATTTTCAAATGTTAAGTTTCTCAAGAGGTTCAAAATGTACTAAAGGAAAACAAATACAAAGGTTACAAAAAGTAAAAAAAAACAAAAAAAACTAAATATGGACTTTTAAAGATATAATTCATAATAACCTAGAGTGCTTTACACATAATGATCAAGCTGCCAAAACCCAGAAACAATAACCTTTTGGTCATTTATTACACCAAAGCTTTTTTTTCTCATTTTTAAGTTACTAACCACCAATTCTCTGACAAGTTTGGGAACATCCCAACTGCCCAACTGAAAATTCATTTACCTGCACAGCATTGAAACATGAAAATTATACTTTCAGTGTACACATTCAGTCTGGAAAATTTCCCCTCCACTCCCCAAAAGGACTCCCAGTCAGTAAATGCAATTCTCTACACGAACGAGATGTTTTGAATCAACGAAGTTCAGTTAATTTTCAAATAATTTTTCTACAGCAGTATTTTAGATAAAATGTATACACAAAAAAAAGACCAGATTTTAGTTGTACTACTACATGAGTTTCACAATCCTCTCCAACCATGTAACCACCACCCCAGTCAAGATACACGACATTCCCATCCCCCCAGAAAGTTCCCTTGAGCTGCTCTGCAGGCCTTCCCCAACTCTACCTTCCCCCAGAGGCAGTCACTTGTCCAGGGGGGGTTCTTACTCTGATGTGGCCAGAAAATGGAGCCAAGAATGATTTTACAATTTAAAGCCGATAAAATAGCATTAAGAATCATAGAGCTCCATGTTGCCTGCAGGTGCTTTTACCATGCTTTAATCCTCTATCAAAAACTCGTCTAATGTGTGGTAGCAAGGAATACAGAACACCTGAGCTTAGTTCAGTCAACAGTTTGGGTGTTGATACAATTTGCTAAAACACTGACTCTATTTAAGTGGATTCTTGATCTGTTTTCTTTAAGTAGGTATAAATAGGCTTTAAATAGGTATTCCTTCTTTGGGGAAATCCTAATTTCAAATACTGCCTCCTGCCCTCCCATATCGGATACCAAAAAGAGCCAGAACGTAGAGTGATTTGCAGTTCAATGTACGAGGTTTACTTTTTAAAACCTTTGATTATGCCATGTTATTGTTTTGGATTGAAGGTGGGAGTTAGGTAGGCCAAACTTTGTTTCTTTTATCCTAAACCAATATATTTAACTAAAATTTAATACACAGAGAGGGGCCTCTGAGCACTGTCTTCCTTCTTTGAATCGACTTACTCCATCTATTTTTCAGTAGTCCACATTTCCCACTTTCAAGGAAATAGGCAAAGACAATATATATAATCCTTACAAAAATGATGAGAAAAGCACTGTTAGGTTTGGGTACCCTGCAAATGGAAGAGACCACTAATATTAGCAGTTTTCATTGTAAATCCAAGTAACCAATTCTTGGTTGGTTGTGTTACCAAAGCAAAAAGTATGAGACCACATACAGCGCAACTCCCAGTTACTCTTAACCAACAAGTCCATATCCTGGAGAGTCACTGTGTCTCTCCTTAATGGCACACCGGCATCGGGGGGTCACAGCTCTGTTTTGGGGTGGGCTGCTGCATACTTGGGTGCCAGTTCAGTGATGAGATTCACGTAGTCCGTTTTTTCTGCACAGGCTCTACACTCCTCTCCCCAGCTGTGCAGTATCTGTTTCAGCTCTGCTACCCTCATCTTTGACAGGTCCACTGATGCCAGGTCCAATTTCTTTTCTAAATAACAAAAAGGAAAAGCACAGTTTTTTAAAAACCAAAACAACCGTGAAATACTTAGAAAGGCCAGGGGTGTTTCCTATCTTGGTGCCGACTACCCTATGTTCCAAAGCGGGGAACAGTTCCAATTGCTATGGAAACCAAGATATACCTAAGGAAAATGTGTTATGTACAAAGCTATTGGGATCATTAGTGTTCAATTCAACTTGCTTTCCATGGAATTATACTTGCTTCAGAACAGGGGCCTGGGTAGCTTTGCAGAATTTTGTGACCACTCCATGGCTTCTCAAGACCATAGTTACTAAAATGACTACATTGCATCCTAATTGCTGCTCCTAAGATAAAAAGAAGAGAATTGATAAATGGCAGTGCCTTGGGATGGTCTTGAGTGTGGCCAGCTGAAAGTCTTAGATTGTAATTAACTAGAAAGTGATGATTTGCTTTCTACACGAAGACATGTCTGCATTAAAACAGATGGACATACCTATTACAAAGCATTATCAAGTTTTTAAATACAAATTTAAGACACCAAAACACATTAATAAAATTAAGAGCATTCTCATTGGTCCTTAATTGTTTGGGATCTCTGCTTGAACTCACCTTATCCTCTGTCCCTACTGAGATTACAGAATCATCACAGCATTCATTGACAGTCTTTTGGGATATACCCACTTCTCTAATGCTAGCGCTTTGGTGCCAACCGATCTGGCTCCTAGCCTTCTTGCCAGTAACCGGCAGTAACACTTGTCATTAACATCCAACTCCTCTAGAAAGACTACTGTTTCCATTTACTATCTGCAGACAATGTGAAGAACTCAGCTACTTCTCTATTGTCAAACCCAAAAATAGGAAAAACAAACAAACAAAGCTCATCTATAACATACTCATGATTATAATTTCCCTGTCAGCATGGGGAAATTCTTTTCTTTCCCCCTCCCCATGACCAGGTATGTCCTTGAACATGGATACAACATTGAAGTTTGCTTATTAGTGGCAGCCCAGGACTTTTGCAGCTTGACTTCTCTTGAGGAACCCTTTCCTTTTTTCCCTTGCATAATAAAACACAGCATTTGAAAGCCTTTTAACAACCTAACGTAGTGGTCAAGTGACTTATCAAAAATTTACAGTAAGTGTGCTCAAATCTAAAAGTTGGATTTTATACTTAGGAATAAATTTAACGAAAGAGGTGAAAGATCTATACACTGAAAACTACCGGAATAAACTGAAGAGAACACAAATGGAAAAACATCCTGTGTTCATGGACTGGAAGATTAATATTGCTAAAATGCCATCCTACACAAAGCCATCTACAGCTTCAATGCAATCCTCATCAAAATTCCAATGGCATTTTTCACAAAAAATAGAAAAAATAACCCCAATTTGTATGGAACCACTAAAGACCCTGAATAGCCAAAGCAATCCTCAGAAAGAACAAAGCTGGAAGCATTGCACTCCCTGATTTCAAACTATACTATAAAACTATAATAAAACAGTGTGGTACTGGCATAAAAACAGACACATATACTAGTGGAGTAGAATCAAAAGCCCAGAAACTAACCCTTGCATATAAGGTCAACTAATATTTGACACAGGAACCAAGAATATTCAATGGGGAAAGAACAGTCTCTTCAATAAATGGTGTTTGGAAAACTGGATAACCACATGCGGAAAAAATGAAACTGGACGCCTATCTTATATCACTTAGGAAAATTAACTTGAAATAGATTAAAAAGTTAAATATAAAACCTAAAACCATAAAAATCCAAGAAGAAAACATAGGGAAAGCCTCCTTGACATTGGCCCTGGCAACGATTTTTTTGGATATGACACCAAAGCAAACAAAAACAAAAATCAGTAAGTGGGACTATATCAAACTAAAAAGTTTCTGCACAGCAAAGAAGCCATCAACAAAATAAATGGCAAGTTATGGGATGTGAGAAAATATTTGAAAATTACATATCTAATAAGGAGTTAATATCCAAAATATATTAAAAACCTCATACAACCCAATAGCAAAATAATCCCAAACAATCTGACTAAAAAAATAGGCAGAGGAACTGAATAGATATTCTTCCAAAGAAGACATATAAATGGCCAACAGGTCCCTAATAAGGTACTCAGCATCACTGATCATAAGGGAAATGCAAAACAGCACACAATGAGGTATCACCTCACATTCGTTAGAATGGCTGTCATCAAAAACCTAAGAGATAGCAAGTGTTGGAAACAATTTAGAAAAAAATCACTCTTGCTGGCAGTATAAGTTAGTACAGCCACTATGGAAAAGAGTATGGAAGTTCCTTTAAAAATTAAAAGTAGAACTACCAAATGATCTAGCAATCCCACTTCTGGGTATATATCAACAGGAAATGAAAATAGGATATCAAAGAGATGTCTGCACTTCCATGTTCATTGCAGCATTATTCACAATAGGCAAGATATGAAAACAACCTAAGTATCTATCAACAGATGAATGAATAAAGAAGATGTGATATGTGTGTGTGTGTGTGTGTGTGATGCACACGTATACACATACAACGGAATGTTAATTCAGCCATGAGAAAGGAAATCTTGCCACTTGCATCAAGAATGGACTAAGTGAAATAAGTCAGAGAAAGATAAATACTATATGATATCACTTATACATGGAATCTAAAAAAGCCAAACTAATAGAAACAGAGCGTAGGATGGTGGTTACCAGGGTCTGGTGGGTAGAGAAATTAAGATGCTGGCAAAAGGGTACAAACTTCCAGTTACAAGTTCTGGGAATCTAATGTACACCGTGGTAGTTATGGTTAATACTATATTATATACTTGAATGTTGCTAAGAGAGTAGATCTTAAATGCTCTCATCACAGAAAAGATATGGTAATTATAAGACATGATGGAGGTGTTAGCCAACACAATGGTGGTAATATTGCAATATAAGTGTATCAAGTCAACATGTTGTACACCTTAAACTTGCACAATGTTTTATGTCACTTATATCTTAATAAATCTGGAAAAAATAAATAAAAGTTAAATTTTAAAGCCTTTTTTTATTTGGATCATCAGCTACACCCTGTGCTCAGGGGACCCTTCAATTTTTATAGTGATCTCCATCCTTTAAAAAAAATAGATCTAGCAAAAACATACTTTCAGGTCAAAAGCCAAATGACACCCTCCTAATTGAAAACATAATCCAACTCTACATTTACCTTGTTTGTTAATTTCATGGCTGACTTAATAAAATATCTTTAAACATAGACGCTTTTATAGCGCAAATTATTAATATCCCACCATTTGAAGCCCTGTTCAATCTCAACTTTCCTGCCAACCATAAGCTGGGAAGGAGAATTTAGAACTGCTGGTCTAATTCAAGATAAATTATTGAAGGAAAAAGAAAACACTTTCTTGCGAGTGTCAGTAGTGTCTTTGAGTTTTTCTAGAGAACTTGGCATCTGAAGTTAATTTTAAAAGAGGAAAAGCTCTGTAACCCTAAAACTATAAGGAAAACGTTGATCCCAAAATTAAAACTAGTTCATGGCTCCCCAAGGGCCTCTAGTGGCCAGCATTGCCAAAACATTAGTAACTATGCATTTCTTTTCAGTAATATCTGAATAATTTTTCTATTATTCAAGGAGCCAAGTAGGATCCCTTATATATAGCAGATGTTATTCCAAGTACATTTGTCAAATGAAAGAATCAAGACAAGTTTGTCCCTTTTGAGAATATTGTTTATATGAACTCAATGATTCCTCCCTCTCCTTCATTACTTGGAAGCCAATAAAAACAGATGCCTTCCCCATAATCACCACCTTGGAGATTAGGGCTTACCCTTGGCAAATTGAGAAGTAGGTTGTCTTTGGTATCTTCCGACCTTAAACCTATTTAAAGTCAGCTTTGTCGCTATGGTGCATAGGCATATTACACAGCTATGTTGGAAAATAAGACTAAAATAATTCAGAGTTGGGTGCTAATTACTTAGGTAGTTTATAATAAATACTACAGTGGGTCTGTAACATAAAACAATGACTTAAGCAAAAGAAGTGAGTCTTTCCTGCTAAAATCTCAGGTGTTAAGGACAGGCTAAGGGAGGGATGCCCCAGGCTTTCAACACACCTATTCAGTGTACCCAAAAGGCTGACCCAGATACAAATCCTCAGTACTGTATAAGAATAGATCTATATCTGTGAAATTCATAAAGCCAAGGATAATGTTTTAAATAGGACATCTCCTCCCTTTCCTCACTGTTTACTTTAGGCACCCTCAATAAGCTTATTTCATAAAACACTGCCTGACTTGATATGAATAACCTATTTCCTAAAGTTTAAAACCAGCAAGATGGTAGACAAATCTAGGGGAAAAAGATATAGTCCATGTTTAAAACTTCAAAATCCCAACACGGCCTTTGAATAGATGCAACTTTTGTCTTAATAGGTTACCAAGAGCTAAATGACCATGAATAGCTGCTCCCTTTACATATGGAATTTTTCCTTGACATACATAGTTGACATTGCCTTGGTGATTTAAGAGTTTAAACCTGGCTATCCGGGTTGGCAGTTTTACCGAATGCTGATTGGGCCAGTCTTCATTTCTCTTCCCCAAAGGAGCTCAGATTGGCGATAGGCACCATTCAGCAGCCCAGCAACCTACTGGCGAGTGGAGATTGCCTTCCCTTCTCCCACTGACTTTTTAGGAACAGGGACCTTGGTTTGGAGAATGGGCAATGCTTTGGACATATTGGAAAAATACATTTGTCTCCATTATACCATATTTCAGTTCACAGATCTGGCTGTCCATCTTCTTGAGCTTCTCACAAATCTTTGGTGCAGGCATATGCACACTCATTGGGCGAGCGACCTCACTGAGGATCTTTGTGGCTGCATCCTTCGTTGCGCCTAGATAATAGCACTGAAGGAGTACAAAGAGAATTTAGTGTCCTGGGTGATGAAAAAAATAATATAGTTTGGAGAAGTGAGAAAGAGGTTAACCTAGTTTTCATGGCCCAGCTATTAAATTTTAACCCCTGCTGACTAAGGCACCAGAAAACAAATGATTCCATCCCCATGATCATGTTAATTAGAAGTGCCCCACAATTCACACGATGCTCAAAGACTAATAAGAGCCAACGTTTGCTAAGTGTCTTCTCTGTGCCAGGCACTGCTCTTGGGGCTTTAAAGGTCTTAACTTATTGAATTCTCACAACAATCCTGTGAAGTAAGTACTATAATTAGCCCCATTTTACACCCAAGTCAACTGAAGGTCACCAGCTGGTAAGCAGAAGAGATGGAATTTAAACATCTAGCATTTTGGCTCTAGAGTCCATGTCCTTCTCCATCATGCTATGCTGCCTTTCCAGCTGCCTAACTGAGACAGTTTACATTTAAAAATATGAAACTTAATGGCACAAATAAATGTTGAGAGTTTTACAATGTGTCAGTGTCGAACAGTCAACAATGCAGATTTAACTGACAAATTGAACATGAAAATTTTAGGCAAAATGAATTGGCCTGCAATGATCTGTAGTGAAGTAAAACACTTTAATGAAAAGTCATCTGTGTAAACCCAGGAAACACCATTATAAGAGAATATAAATACTTCATTAGTTATGTATAAATGATGTGATAAAAATGTTTTGACAGGTTTAACTAATAGTCTTGGTAACAGAGAGTCTACCCACTGTTAACCCAGGACAGAAAATTCTCATGAGGAATTTGTGTAACTTTACTTAAAACATGGAATTGCTTGCCTCTTCAAAAAGCAAAATGAAACCAGATATATTCTAAATGAAAATACATAGGACTACATTTCACTGGAAGATCAATTTCTGCTTGCTATCTACAATGAACATGCTTGAGGCAAGCATTTAAGCAGGAGAACATTAGGACTAAGATGAGAAATGAAACTATTAACAGTTTCTTCAAGCATAAGGGAAAATGAACAGGGAAAATTTACTATACCAGGCGGTTTTCTTTTCCTTTGACATCCAAGCAAAAGCTGACCAATTCCTTTTCTATGGTGTCCAGGGAAAAGTTGACTCCTCTGGCTATCAAGGAGTTATAGAATCGGTTCAAGAATTCTTTACATACTAGAAGGATCAAAGAAATTATGTGGTTATGTACAAAATAACCATGACCTCACCTATGTGTATGCCCCGCTCACCAAATAAAAAAGTTAAATATGATTCAACACATTGTGACAATGAATTCAAATTATGAGTAAGAATTGTTTGGGGTCTATAGCTATCGGCTTAGAATTGGGCCTTGAATAATATGAACTTATCGAAGCAATCAATCTTTGGAACCAACTTGAACCTAAAATGAGACTTTTCCCACAAAAGTTAACCCTAAAAGAGAATATAGCTTTATATAGGATATGATTCTTAGGACAGCTTTGTTTAAAGCACAGAGAAAAACCTGAATACATATCTTAAATGAAACCCCTTGGTAGTCTGCCTAAGTCTGTAAGTTCTATCGTCATGAACCTAAGTGAAACTCCAATTTGAACAGTCATATTCAATCCCAGCATCCAAAGCCAGCGAAGAAGCAGAGGAGCTAAGAAGGGGCACAGGCAATAACCATAGTCAACATTTGTTGGGTGCTTAAAGGTGCTGGCGTCGTTCTGATATATGTTATTAACTCATTCATCTCAGAACAAAGCTATGCTGTAGACCCATTACTATCCTTATTTTACAGATGAGGTAACTGAGTCAAAGAGAGGCCTGTTAACTTGCCTAATAAGCGCTAGAGAGGGAATTAGATCCCAGGCCACTTGACACTGGCCCTACACACTTATCCATTAGGTACCTCTGCAGTAGGAGGATACTGCTTTTCCCATGTTGCTTTCCCAGATGGGGCAAGTGTCTCGCCCTAGCAAGCAGAGAGGGAAATGGAGGCCAGAAGATTATGCTGGAAAACAGTGGCCCTAGTATTAGAGACAGAATTCTAGAGAAACATACCAAGGAAGAGCGGAGAGTGCTCCAGACCTTGGTTCTATCCCTACTCTTGATTCATGGTATTAACTAAAACCAGATAATGTGCTGCCATCCCCAATATTCAAGTGTCTTATCTCTGTCTGGTAAATGAGGCAAGATCCACCGATCACCCTAACACACAAACTAGACATCTACTGTAGTTTAAACTATGTTCATCTGATTAAATTAATTTATTTAATAAACATTTATTGACCATTTCCTATGTATAAAACACCTTAGGAAGCCCTACTAACAGATAAACTTCAGGAAGGAGGCAAGATCCAGAAAGGAGAATCAGGCTGCAAGAAGTAATATGAGAAGAAAAACTGGCAAGTGGGAGAGAAATCTAAATCAAGATTAACTGTGTAAACAATAATAATAAACATGTAGGGGAATAAGCATAAGGTAAAACCCAAAACAGGACAATCCTAACACATAAGATGAGAAATACAAGAAAATTCACTTGAAACTTCCTAAGATCCTTTATCATCCAGAAGAAGGTGGAGAAACATTACTGTTAAGTCATAATAATTTTTAGCCAATTACTCATGTTAACAACGTAAGGGGAATAACTAAAAAATATAAACAGATTACTTTCAGATCCGTATTGGTGCAGGGCATGGGGAGGGATTGTTCAAACATTATCAGTCCACTGAAAGACAAAAAAGTTAAAAAAAAAAAAAAAGAAACAAAGAAAGCACAATACATTTTTTTAAAAAAACATGAAATTAAGTGGGAAAAATAAACCCAAATATATGATTAATTACAACAAGCATGAATGTATTAAACTTGCAGTTATAGAACAGGATTTTTCAGAGCAGAACTATCAAAAATTCAATTATCTGCTGTTTATAAGAGTCACATAAAAAGTATGAGGCTACAACAGAAGGCTGAAAAAACAAAAACAACAAAATTGAGGAGATTTTAAAAATAAAAAGATATACCTAGAAAATGCTAACCAAAATCTGCTTTAGTCCTATAAAGCATTTTTGAGAATAACAAGTCACTACTAACCATAAAATGAACCATTTACCAGAAATACCAAAATAAATGTTCTAAACTAATGTACAGCCATTAACATAGCTTAATAATACAGAAAATCCTGAGAGAATTATAAGAAGAAATTGACAAATTCACAATAACAGTAGATGGTTGAACATCCTCACAGGAATTATTTGATCAAATTGACCAAAAGTTAATAAGGACATTAAATATTTGAGCACTATTCACAAGTTTGACCTTATAACATATGGAACCCTTCTCCCCCAAATTAAAGAACCCACATTCTTTTCAAGAAAATATGTAATATTTACATTAATTTGCCAGGTAGTAGGCCAAAAAGCAGTTCTCAACAAGCACCAAAAGACCCGTACTAAGCAGGTCACATTCCCCAAATATAATTAGAAATCAGTAACAAAAATAATATGATCCAGGGGCGCCTGGGTGGCTCAGTCAGTTAAGCGGCTGCCTTTGGCCCGGGTCATGATCCCAGGGTCCTGGGATCGAGTCCCACATCGGGCTCCTTGCTCAGCAGGAAGCCTGCTTCTTCCTCTCTCTCCCTCTGCTTGTGCTCTCTCTGTCAAATAAATAAAATCTTTAAAAATAATAATAATATGATCCAACTCAGTGTCTGCCCTCCTTATGCCTAGAAATTTTTTTAAAATACATACTTCTAACTAATCCGTGGGTCAAAGAAAAAGTAGTAACAGAAATGTGCAATTTTTAGTACTTAGTTCCAGTAAAAATACTATATATAAAACTTAAGGATTTGGGTTAAGCAGTACTTACAAAGAAATTCATAACATTATTATCTTTCAAAAGAAAAAAAATGAAAAATTAAAGAGTAAGCATTCAACTTAAGTTTTTAAAAGTATAACTATATAAACCAAAAGAATATAGAAACTATTGATAATAAAACCACATAAATTAAGTAGAAAAAATAAAAATAAATGGAACTAATGGTCAGTAAAGATAGATAATTTCTTAGCAAGGAAAAAAGTGATAATTTTTTAAGTGGTAAATCAAATAATATTCAGACAACCAAATAACAAGTAAGAACTCTTGGTAATTAAAATACGATCGCTAAATTAAAGAAAAAAGTTGACCAGATTTATTTAGGGGATCAAGTTGGGGGGGGGAAATCACCAGGAAGTAGACCAAAAGACAAAGAGGTGGAAAATGGTTAATAAAATTTAAGAAATTCAGGTAGACAAATACCTAAATAATATGAGCTTCTAAAAGATAGAAGTGGGAATTGTCAAAGAACCAATATAGGGAATATTCTCATTAGTGGAAGACACGAATATCTGGACTGACAGACCCACAAAATTGAAAAAGATCTATACTAACACATAAAAATCAAGAAACTTTAGAACACTGGTAAAAAAGAAAAGATTCTATAATTCTGCTGAAATCTAAAATAGCTCTAATAACAATTATGAAATAGAGTGTCATTAGATTTCTTAGCACTGGAAACTATAAGAAAATAGCTTAATGTCATCAAAATTCTACAGAAAATATGTTTTCGATCTAGAATTCTATAAACAGTCAAGCTATTCATTAAAATGTCAAAGTAAATAAAGTCATTTTCAACATTTAAGATCTCAAAATTATATTATCATGTGCTGTTTTTAAGGACAGTAGGCTTCACCAAAACATAAGAGTGAACCAATCAAAGGAATGCCTTGGATTCCAGGAAGCAAAGGTCAAACACAACAAAGAGACCAAGGAAATTCCCAGGAGGGGAGGGAGTCTTAGGACAACAGTGGTGTAGCTGGCTGGAGAGATGCCTGTCCAGTTAAAGCAGGACACAGAGAGTCCCAGGAATGATGCCACCAAGCAGAAAATCAAACTAATAGACTACCTGATGTGGTTAACTTGTTCAGAGATGATTTTCAGTTCTGTCGGGGGGGATAGATATATATATATTTAATTTTATTTATTATTTAATGATTATTATTTAATAATAATTATTTAATAAATTTATTAATCATATATAATTATTATTTGATAAATTTATTGATTTATCATATATATGATAAATTAATGATTGGAATAAAAATTAACCAAAGAAAACTGAGGCAAGTTTTAATTCAAGGGGAGAAAGATATACATGAAAGATGAAATCCTGGTGCACTAGATAACTGACCTTTGAATAATATTTACATGGCACAACAATATAAACCCTGAGATTTATTTTTATCCCAAGTGGTGATATAAATGTATGTAAAATGGGGGAATGGGCGTGCAAGAGACAAATGTGGGTGGGTGTAATAGACCTAAAACTTCAATTTCCAAAGATAATAAAAGTGCAAAACTGGAAAAGAACATTTTAAGCAGTTTATTTAGATTAATAAAGATATGTTTCAGATGAAGCAGCTAAACTACTTGGAAGTAGCTGCAGAGGAAAGCACTATCTAGAGAAGAATGAATGGCTAGGGGCTTAACATTTTTCAATATAGGCCCAGGAAAAAAAATTTACATTTTAAATTTATGTATATACATAACTATTTGATAAAAAAAGAAGACATACCTAGAGAGAGAATAGAGACTTTAAAATCATAGGAAAACACCATAAGAAAAGCTTTATTTCAATAAATTCGAAAACAGCATAGACAACATCCTAGAAAAGTATAACAGAAATAGACTTACATAGAAATAAGAACCTGAACCAACCTAAAGGCCATTTTAAAAAATTGAAGCAGTAATTAAAAATCTACCAGGGAAAAAAAGAACCCAGGTATCAGAACTATTTTATATAAACTATCACAGAGACAAGAATAGCAAAGGAAAAGAAAGAAAGGAAAGAAAACCTCCCAAACTTTAACGAGATTGGCCAAACCTCGACATCAAAGCCAGGCAAGGACACTATGAGACAAAAATGACTGGCCAATTTCACATTTTGAAAATAAAATGCACATTAAAAACATCATAATCAAGGAAGAATCACATCAGTGACCAAGATGTTTCAAAATTAGAAAAGCTAATAATGCAATTTATTATAGGATCATCTCAACAGATGTATATGTATTTAATAAAATCGGTGCTCACTTTGGCAGCACATATACTAAAATTGTATTTAATAAAATCGAATTTCTGTTCATGATTAAAGCAAG